AGGATGGGTGCGTTCAGTTGGCTGAGAGATTCAAGAATTTGCTGCTGATACCACCACTTTAGAACGCGCTTGGTGCTTCCGACCACCCGATCCATATCCCTGGTGTATTGAATGCTAGCGAGACTTTACATGGGCTTCAGCATAATATTGTCAACAATGCTAGCCAATATGTCAATCTTACTACGCCTTCAGGCTTGCCGAATACCACCTCAGTTCTGTATACCACCTCAGTGCTGAATACTACCTCAGTGCTGAATACTACCTCAGGAATCAAATCGACAACCACGAATCTCACCAACCATGCGCCATCAGTATTTGTCAACACTTCTGGCGCCGATGCGGCACGCAAGACAAGCTGCGGGTTCTGGAGGACGATTCCATTATTTTTTGTCCTGTTGAGTTTGTTATAATCATGAGGTGTCTACACCGATCTATTGCGCTATTTTACGCTATATAATCTTGAATATCTTGGCTTTCAAAATGTTTTTGTGGTTGCTCTTTGTTCCGTCTGGCCCCGCATTATGCTGGCCACTGGTAGTCATTATTCATCTTGTCAACTTCATTCATTCATTTGCAACATACCCGGGCTGTTGAAGCCCAACTCATCAAAAAATGATCATCTCTATTCAGTGCATACTACAACATATGTTGATAAACTTGTGAGTGTGGTGCGCTCTGGCGCACTTCTTTTATGGTACTTATGTCAACACGTTGGTTCCTTCTTCGTCAACCTGAGCCCCGGAACCGACACCCCGAGGGTTACCCGAGCCCCGAACCGTCGGGGTTAGGGTCCGGTTAGCCTTTTTTTGGACCCAGATACATCGGGGCCCCGTCGGTTTCGGGCGCGGGGTGGGGTTGGTTTAGGCGTCTCGAACCGCGGATAACCCGCGGGTTTTTAGCAATTTCAGCAAAGAGATAGATTTCAAATCTGAGACCGGTGACAAGGTAGTAGAAAAAAGCAAAGACAAAACAAGTAGAAAAAAACAGACAGTAATATGTTGAAAGAAAATTAAAGTAAAAAAACCTTCAAAAAAAGAAAAGTATATGATAAAAACGATTAATCGCTATCATCATCAATAACAATTTGAGTTCCTGAAACAGATGTTCTACCAATGTTATTTGGGAAAAACATAGCCCCAAAGAGGCGAAACCACTCCTTGAGACACAGAAGGATTTCCACACTAGTCGGAGTAAGAGATGATCGTTGAGGTCCGATGATACGCTTTGTCTTGCTAAACGCTCCCTCGGATGATGTGCTTGTAGCTGGAATTGAAAGGTACATCCTTGCCATCTTAGCAAGTCCTGGTAGTGCGTCCTCCTTCCCTTTCCAAAAAGTTACGATATCCCCCCGATGACGGTCACAATCACCCAAATAGCGATTAATCTCGCTTTCAATGGTGGCGTATGAGGTCGGTTTGTCGCTTCCGTAGATTGCTTCGGCAAACCGATTTTTTGGCTTCTTTGGTTTGATCTTAGAGGGTGGAGGAGCACAGGTGAAAGTTGATGCCATATCGATAAAGTGTTGTTTGAAGTCGTTAGGAGTCATGTCATATCTTAAAAACAAATCGGAATGTTCCTAGGTATGAGGTATGCAAATAATCTTCAATTAGTATAAGCAAAAAATTCATGATTTGAAGAATTACTTACCTCAAAGAATTTCATCTTGAGGCGAGGATTCAATATCATGGCACAAATGGGTGCTGGTTTTGTCAGTACTAATTTAAAGTATTCCTCCAGCTTCTCAAACATGTCCTTTGCAGCTGGTAAAAGCTGATCGTGGTCATACTTCTCCTTGACCTGAAGTAAGAAATATAGATTGATTATCAGAATCGAGTATTAGATGGAGGTGGTAAAGAAAGTACTTACCTCCAACAAATTCTCCATAATAACCGTGTAAACAGGTATGACTTCATGCATTGTAGGATATTGCCTTTGGCACAACAGATTGGTAGCTTCACTGAGGGGTTCGAGAAAATCACACATTTGCTGAACGTACTTCCATTCCAATTTTGAAAGTGCAAACTTCGGGGCTTGGCGTTCACAATACTGTACACAGGCATCTTTCAGTCGAAGGGCTCGCTTAAGCATGTAGTATGATGAGTTCCAACGGGTTGGAACGTCGATCATCAACCTGGTGGCACGATCTTTTGATTTCGCAGTTTGAGATATGTTGGGGTCTTCCTCATCTGAGTTGGAGGGTGTGCGATGTTGGAAGAAGCTGACAGTGTCGTCGTCCAGTTGCACCTCAAGGTCTTCCTCATCGTCAATATCGTCAGTGTTTTGTTGACCATATCTATCTTTATCTTTATCTTTATTTTGATTTTTATCTTTCTTGGCTTCAGCTTCAGGATCTTTTTGAATATCACGAACAAGAGCTATCACATTAGCAAAGTTTTGACTATGTTGAGGAGTTTTTCGAGTATACATAGCCAGACCGTGTATACGAG